CTATTAACAATATCTTTCAGGACCCTTTCCTCTGTTTTATGAGCTGTGGAAAAGAAGTTCCTGTAAAATAGTCTAATAGGGGGTATAGGTGTTGTGTTAGTTGTCTCTTCGGAGGTTGCATGGCTTTTCACTTTCCTTCTTATGATGTCTTCGATGAAACCATTGGAGAAGCCGTTATTGACTAGAACCTGCCTTACCCTACAGAGTTCTTCGTCGACTTGCTTCCATTCTGAGCTGTGGCTGAGAGCACGGTCGACGTATGCGTTAACAACACTCCTCTTGTACCTGTCAGGGCAGTCGCTGTTGGCATTTAGGCACATTCCTATGTTTGTTTCCTTTGTGTAGACTGCAGTGTGGAAACCTCCGCCCTTTTTCATGACTGTTACATCTAGAAAAGGCAGCTTCCCATCCTTTTCCGTCTCGTAAGTGAAACGCAGCACGGAACTCTGCTCAAATGCCTCCTTCAGCTCCTGCAGATGTCTGACATCAGGTACCTGTGTAAAAATGTCGTCAACATACCTGCAGTATATGGCCGGTTTCAAGTTCATGTCGACTAAGACTTTTTGCTCGATGGTACCCATGTAGAAGTTTGCAAACAGGACACCTAGGGGAGAACCCATGGCGACCCCATCTACTTGCTTATACATGTGCCCATCCGGGCTCAAGAAGGGTGCCTCTTTAGTACAAGCTTGGAAGAAAATTCGATTGAGAAAAGATTGAGAAAATTCGTGTTAGAATTATTAATCTTACTTTTTCGGTCATATTTAATAAAATATATATATATATATATATATATATATATATATATATATATATATATATATATATATATATATATATATATATATATATATATATATGTCGTACCTAGTAGCCAGAACGCACTTCTCAGCCTACTATGCAAGGCCCGATTTGCCTAAAAAGCCAAGTTTTCATGAATTAATTGTTTTTCGACTACCTAACCTACCTAACCTAACCTAACCTAACTTTTTCGGCTACCTAACCTAACCTAACCTATAAAGATAGGTTAGGTTAGGTTAGGTAGGGTTGGTTAGGTTCGGTCATATATCTACGTTAATTTTAACACCAATAAAATAAAATTGGACGCATACATAATGAAATGGGTAGCTTTATCATTTCATAAGAAAAAAATTAAAGAAAACATATTATTTCAGGAAAACTTGGCTTATTAGGCAAATCGGGCCTTGCATAGTAGGCTGAGAAGTGCGTTCTGGCTACTAGGTACGACATATATATATATATATATATATATATATATATATATATATATATATATATATATATATATATATATATATATATATATATATATATATATATATATATATATATGTCGTACCTAATAGCCAGAACGCACTTCTCAGCCTACTATGCAAGGCCTGATTTGCCTAATAAGCCAAGTTTTCATGAATTAATGTTTTTTCGACTACCTAACCTACCTAACCTAACCTAACCTAACTTTTTCTGCTACCTAACCGAACCTAACCTATAAAGATAGGTTAGGTTAGGTTAGGTAGGGTTGGTTAGGTTTGGTCATATATCTACGTTAATTTTAACTAAAATAAAAAAAAATTGACCTCATTCATAATGAAATGGGTAGCTTTATCATTTCATAAGAAAAAAATTAGAGAAAATATATTATCTCAAGAAAACTTGGCTTATTAGGCAAATCGGGCCTTGCATAGTAGGCTGAGAAGTGCGTTCTGGCTATTAGGTACGACATATATATATATATATATATATATATATATATATATATATATATATATATATATATATATATATATATATATATATATATATATATATATATATATATGTCGTACCTAGTAGCCAGAACTCACTTCTCAGCCTACTATTCAAGGCCCGATTTGCCTAATAATCCAAGTTTTCCTGAATTAATATATTTACTATAATTTTTTTCTTATGAAATGATAAAGCAACCCTTTTCTCTATGTATGAGGTCAATTTTTTTTTATTGGAGTTAAAATTAACGTAGATATATGACCGAACCTAACCAACCCTACCTAACCTAACCTAACCTATATTTATAGGTAAGGTTAGGTTAGGTAGCCAAAAAAAGCTAGGTTAGGTTAGGTTAGGTAGGTTAGGTAGACGAAAAAACATTAATTCATGAAAACTTGGCTTATTAGGCAAATCGGGCCTTGAATAGTAGGCTGAGAAGTGCGTTCTGGCTATTAGGTACGACATATATATATATGTCGTACCTAGTAGCCAGAATGCACTTCTAGGCCTACTATGCAAGGCCCAATTTGCCTAATAAGCCAAGTTTTCATGAATTAATTGTTTTTCGACTACCTAACCTACCTAACCTAACCTAACCTAACTTTTTTGGCTACCTTCCCTAACCTAACATATAAAGATAGGTTAGGTCAGGTTAGGTAGGGTTGGTTAGGTTCGGTCATATATCTACTTTAATTTTAACTTTATTAATAACTTTATTAACTTTTAATTAAAAAAAAAAATTGACATCATACATAATGAAATGGGCAGCTTTATCATTTCATAAGAAACAAAATCGAGAAAATATATTAATTCATGAAAACTTGGCTTATTAGGCATATCGGGCTTTGCATAGTAGGCCGAGAAGTGCATTCTGGCTACTAGGTACGACATATATATATATATATATATATATATATATATATATATATATATATATATATATATATATATATATATATATATATATATATATATATATATATATATCGTACCTATTAGCCAGAACGTACTTCTCAGCCTACTATGCAAGGCCCTATTTGCCTAATAAGCCAAGTTTTCATGAATTAATGTTTTTTCGACGACCTAACCTACCTAACCTAACCTAACCTAACTTTCTCGGCTATCTAACTTAACCTAACCTATAAAGATAGATTAGGTTAGGTTAGGTAGGGTTGGTTAGGTTCGGTCATATATCTACGTTAATTTTAACTCCAATAAAAAAAATTGACCTCATACATAATGAAATGGGTAGCTTTATCATTTCATAAGAAAAAAATTTGAGAAAATATATTATTTCAGGAAAACTTGGCTTATTAGGCAAATCGGGCCTTGCATAGTAGGCTGAGAAGTGCGTTCTGGCTACTAGGTACGACATATATATATATATATATATATATATATATATATATATATATATATATATATATATATATATATATATATATATATACATTGTGACGGTAAAGCGTTGGTGTTTGGCTGTTTCAAAAGCTGGGGGCAGGGCCTCGTCACATCACAAAAAAAAAGAGAAAAGTTTGTCCTTTCGTCTGTGGTAAGGTAATGGGAAGACACACAAAACACAAGTACATAAACAATGAAATTTTAATTACTCTAGAAAACAAGACATGAATAAAGACAATCTCATAAAATTCAACACTGGTCAACAAACAAAATAACATGAATAATAACTGGCAATGAAAAGTTACTCTAAGACCAGAATGCAAAAATATTGATAGCAATATAAATTAAATAATGGGTGCTGGAATACTGGCTTCAAGCTGCCACCTCCCTTAGTACACGAAAGCCAAGGCTTAGTCTACTAGTGAGAGATGTCATTTCCAAGGAGCACAGAGATATTCTGACGAGTACGGCGTACTGCTGCCCAGACAACGACTCTGGTGGTGGCGTGAGTGCAGGTGCGGCGAGACATCAGCCAATCAGCAACAGGCAGGCGGAGGATGAGCAGTTTGCTGGTTACGTTGGCTGTGGCTGGTGTCGGGGTATGCATGGTACGATTGGCTTCCTGGGCAAAACGTTTGGCGATACTGGTGGACGTATCTTCTATATAGTATCTTGTACTTTAACGACGTAATGATGTAGGGAAGAGCAGGCTCAATCTCTCTTGAAAGAGATTATCGTCACAACATATATATATTTATATTTTATTTAATTTAAGAACTGTGGTATTGAAATTGCAAAATTACTCGATGCAAAATACTTAAGCAAAGGAAAAAGAACTAAGGTTTAAATTAAAAAAGTCAAAGTTCAGAACACATCTCCCTGGAAGGTTTTATTGAATTAAAGCTATATTGAGTTTATTAAATTTAAAGTTAATGATATATTCCACAAGGGTATATATATATATATATATATATATATATATATATATATATATATATATATATATATATATATATATATATATATATATATATATATATATATATATATATATATGTCGTACCTAGTAGCCAGAACGCACTTCTCAGCCTACTATGCCAGGCCCGATTTGCCTAATAAGCCAAGTTTTCATGAATTATTTGTTTTTCGACTACCTAACCTACCTAACCTAACCTAACCTAACTTTTTCGGCTACCTAACCTAACCTAACCTATAAAGATAGGTTAGGTTAGGTTAGGTAGGGTTGGTTAGGTTCGGTCATATATCTACGTTAATTTCAACTCCAATAAAAAAAAATGACCTCATACATAATGAAATGGGTAGCTTTATCATTTCATAAGAAAAAAATTTGAGAAAATATATTAATTCATGAAAACTTGGCTTATTAGGCAAATCGGGCCTTGCATAGTAGGCTGAAAAGTGCGTTCTGGCTACTAGGTACGACATATATATATATATATATATATATATATATATATATATATATATATATATATATATATATATATATATATATATATATATATATATATATAATTCTTGCTAAATGTCAATAACTTTATGCCTGAAATGTATTTGTTTTATTTTGAGTATTAAACATTTTTCAAGTATAGACAACTCTGAAATGATTTAAACAAATTCTTACCAATCAAGTTTCTAATTCTGAGAATAATATCTACTTGCTACTATGTTATTGAGACACTTGTATGAAATTTTGTAATTAATGTAGTTCACTGTTTTATGTAAACTTAACCAATTATAAATGTTGTACTATTTATGAGTAAAGATTTTGAATGACGGATTACTTATAAATAATTGTGTGTATCCTGCAGACGGATGGTGCACACGGGCCTGGTGGAGCTGCCCAACCTCACCCACCTGAACACCAGCAGCATCATCCACATGGTGTGAGTTGACCCTCCTACTCCCACCCATATGGTGCAGTTTACCCACTTACTGCCTTCCACATGGTGTATTGTACTCTCCTACTGCCTTCCACATGGCGTATTATACTCTCGTAACGCCTTCCACGTGGTGTATTGTACTCTCCTACTGCCTTCCACATAGCGTATTATACTCTCGTAACGTCTTCCACGTGGTGTATTGTACTCTCCTACTGCCTTCCACATGGTGTATTGTACTCTCCTACTGCCTTTCACGTGGTGTATTGTACACTCCTACTGCCTTTCACATGGTGTATTATACTCTGCTACTGCCTTCCTCGTGGTGTATTATACTCTCGTAACGCCTTCCACGTGGTGTATTATACTCTCCTACTGCCTTCCACATGGTGTATTATACTCTCCTACTGCCTTCCACATGGTGTATTATACTCTGCTACTGCCTTCCACATGGTGTATTATACTCTCCTACTGCCTTCCACATGGTGTATTATACTCTCCTACTGCCTTCCTCGTGGTGTATTATACTCTCCTACTGCCTTCCACATGGTGTATTATACTCTCCTACTGCCTTCCACGTGGTGTATTATACTCTGCTACTGCCTTCCACGTGGTGTATTATACTATCCTACTGCCTTCCACGTGGTGTATTATACTCTGCTACTGCCTTCCACATGGTGTATTATACTCTCCTACTGCCTTCCTCGTGGTGTATTATACTCTCCTACTGCCTTCCTCGTGTGGTGTATTATACCCTGTTAAGGCCTCATTGAGCCAGTAAGTAGGTTCTTTATTTCACTCACGACGTATTGGGTTCTCAGCACCTCACGTCGACCCCACCGCAAGTCAATGGTAAGTTATCAATGATTGGCAGTAACAAGTAATCGTGATAACTTGTTACTGCCATGTAACAAAAATAAAAAAAGGTAAACAATACTAATCGTCACCTTGACCAATTATACTTCTTATAATCAATATATATAAAAATGTATATGTTCGTTGGTTCAAAATCGCTAATCTCGAAAGTTCTTCACCAATTGCACAGAAATTTTCACACAACGTTCCATTCGCATCCGAGCGAGTTTCTATATACATACTCTATATAGAAGTTACGTCTGTGACAGGATTTTTTTTTCAAGTGTGTTTTTCAAGTGAGGGAAATCTTCAGAACCTCTTTACCGATTGCTTTGAAATTTTGACACAACGTTGCATTCAAATAGGTGCATGTTTTTATATACTTACTATATACAAGCCACACCTGTGACAGGAAGAAACATTCTTTTTTGGAAATTCAGCGCCAGTAACCACCACACACGTCCTCAGACACAGTAACCACCACACACGTCCTCAGACACAGTAACCACCACACATGTAGTGGTTACGACACACACACACGGCCAGGGAAGGCACAAGTGTTGGACGGCGGTCCGTGAATTAATTCAATATTCTCGGGATGTTTACATACCAGTGAGCCCAAAACATAGTTTTTGGTCATATGAAGGGTACAGCAACGCAGTGATAATGCAACATAGTGAATTCTTATAACGTTGGATAAGAAAAAAAATTGAAAAAGAATGAGTTTGTGGCAAGACAGTGGCACCAGCGGGCTAAGAAGGGAAGAATTTGGATCACCACGTGGAAAGGAGCTCTGGCAGGGACGTCAACAATTAAGGCAGACATCGCTTCATAAATCACATAATTGTGCTGTGGGATGCTTACTTGGAGATGAGTGCTTCTCAAAGTCAGTCATACAAGGTGTGCTTTTGATATAAAAATTAGCTTTGGACTTAAGTTAAAATACGAAAAAGAAGCTCGAGAGTCTCAGCTTGGTACTAGTTTTTCACACCTGTGGTACATTACACCGCCACTGACTAGCCCTCCCCCTTCCTCACCATAACACGCCAGTGTAAACACACACACACACACTCACCTTCCTTGGAAAGGAAAAGATCAGTGGTAGCTGTGGGTATTAAAGAGCAGGAAGGCTCTAATTGGAAAGAGTGGAATGATAAGGACAAAGCGGCTGTGAATGAAATACTTAAGGCACTAGACATGGAAGGGGCTGAACATAGCATTAAGAAGGTTTTCAGGATAGGCTGGTACAAAAAAGACCGAGACCGTGTGTTAAAGATAGTGTTTGCAAACGAGAATGCATAGGACACGATTCTAACAAAGAAAAGCCACCTGCAACATGTGGGAGAATTCAAAAGAGTATTCCTCCAGAGGGACATGACGAGGGAGGAGAAGGCCATGGCGGCAGAAGCAAGGAAAAAGCGCAGGGCGAGAGGGGAAAACCAGGAAACCACAGCTCCTAACACATCACCCCCAGAGGCGAGGGGGGAACCCACAACCAGCTACCCAGTAACACCAGCGAGGAGGGCAACCCCACCACCCTCCTCTGCATAGATAACCCCCCTTTCCTTCCTGTTCTCCCGCCCCTTGCACCCCATACCCTGCCTGTCCCTCCCCCTTCACTTGACCCCCCACCCTTCATCCCAGTATCCTCTGCAACCCTGGTATCCACCTCACAAATCCTCACACCTATGGCACAGCTTCCTCCGCCAGCAGAACACTCACCAAGGAGGAGGAGATCTGAGAAGGGACAGAAGAAAGTGAGCCTCAAGGCAATGTACACTAACATAGATGGAATTACAAATAAAGCAAATAAACTTGGAGAATGGATACTAGAGGAAAACCCAGACATAATAGCTCTCACAGAAACAAAGCTAACGAAAACCATAACAACTGCAGTGTTCCCACAGGACTATTATTTTATGAGAAAAGAGAGAGAAGGAAGAGGTGGTGGTGGTGTAGTCCTGCTGGTAAGAAAAGGCTGGGATTTTGAGGAATTGGTTGTTCAGGGATGTGAAGGTTTCGGTGACTACATAATAGGTACCATAACAACTGGAGGGCAAAAAATTATAGTCGCAGTCATATATAATCCACCACCAAATGACAGAAAACCCAGACAGGAATATGATAGAAACAATATGGCCACCATTAACATAATAGAGAGAGCAGCTTCTGTTGCTGGCAGGAATGGATCTGGACTACTAATCATGGGAGACTTCAACCATGGGAAGATATATTGGGAGAACAGAGACCTGCATGAAGGACCAGAAACATGGAGAGCTAAGCTGCTGGACGTGGCAACAAGAAACTTTCTAAGCCATCACATCAAGGAACCAACAAGAATGAGAGAAGATGAACCAGCAATGCTTGATCTGATATTTACCCTAAATGAGTGGGATATAAGGGAAGTCAAGATGGAAGCACCCTTGGGAATGAGTGATCACAGTGTATTGAACTTTGAGTACCTGGTAGAGCTAGGAATTATCCCCCCCCCCCTCCCCACCGAAAAAGAACTAGGAAACAAAAGGCTGGAATACCGAAATTATGAGGAGATGACAAGCCTTCTAAGGGAAATACCTTGGGACACAGACCTCAGAGGTAAGTCTGTACAAGATATGATGGACTATGTCACCCAAAAGTATCAGGAGGCAGTAAGCAGATACATCCCGGCCCAAAAGGAAAAATCTGAGAAGCAAAAGAAAAATCCATGGTATAATAGGGCATGTATGGAAGCAAAGAAACTGAACAAAAGGGCGTTGAAGAACTTCCGGAATAACAGAACACCAGAAAGCAAAGAGAGATACCAGAGAACCAGGAATGAGTATGTCAGGGTGAGAAGAGAAGCAGAGAAAAGTTATATAAATGACATAGCAAACAAAGCCAAGACCGAACCAAAGCTACTCCACAGTCACATCAGAAGGAAAACAACAGTGAAAGAACAGGTAGTGAAACTTAGAACAGGCGAGGACAGGTATACAGAGAATGACAAAGAGGTGTGTGTTGAACTCAACAAGAGGTTCCAGGAGGTCTTCACAACAGAACAAGGTGAGGTCACTGTGCTAGGAGAAGGGGAAGTAAACCAGGCGGCCTTGGAAGAGTTCGAAATTACGAGAGAGGAGGTCAAGAGGTATCTGCTGGATCTGGATGTTAGAAAGGCTGTTGGTCCAGACGGGATCTCGCCATCGGTACTGAAAGAGTGTGCAGAGGCACTTTGCTTGCCACTCTCCATAGTGTATAGTAGATCACTGGAGACGGGAGACCTACCAGAAATATGGAAGATGGCGAATGTGGTCCCAATATACAAAAAGGGCGACAGGCAAGAGGCACTGAACTACAGGCCAGTGTCCTTGACTTGTATACCATGCAAGGTGATGGAGATGATTGTAAGAAAAACCCTGGTAGTACATCTGGAGAGAAGGTACTTCGTGACAAATCGCCAACATGGGTTCAGGGAGGGTAAATCTTGCCTGACTGGCTTAATAGAATTCTACAACCAAGTGACAAAGATTAAGCAAGAAAGAGAGGGCTCGGTGGACTGCATTTTATTGGATTGTTGGAAAGCCTTTGACATAGTACCACATAAGAGGCTGGTACATAAGCTGGAGAGACAGACAGGTGTAGCTGGTAAGGTGCTCCAGTGGATAAGGGAGTACCTAAGCAATAGGAAGCAGAGGGTTACGGTTACGGGTGAGACCTCCGATTGGCGTGAAGTCGCCAGTGGAGTCCCACAGGGCTCTGTACTCGGTCCAATCTTGTTTCTGATATATGTAAATGATCTCCTGGAGGGTATCGATTCATTTCTCTCAATGTTTGCAGACGATGCCAAAATTATGAGAAGGATTATGACAGAAGAGGACTGTTTGAGGCTTCAAGAAGACCTAGACAAACTGAAGGAATGGTCGAACAAATGGTTGTTAGAGTTTAACCCAACCAAATGTAATGAAATGAAGATAGGTGTAGGGAGCAGGAGGCCAGATACAAGGTATCATCTGGGAGAGGAAATTCTTCAGGAGTCAGAGAAAGAAAAAGACTTAGGAGTTGATATCACGCCAGACCTGTCTCCTGCAGCCCATATCAAAAGGATAACATCAGTGGCATATGCCAGGCTGGCCAACATACAAACGGCATTCAGAAACTTGTGTAAAGAATCATTC